TGTCCAGAAAAAGAATGCTGACATGCCAGTTTGCCAGTATTTTGGATGGTAATTATATTACCATTATGGAAATGCAAGCTATAGTGTATGCTCATGTAACATTCACATGCAGTACTTCGTGACTTAGTTTGGATCTTGATGAGATTGTTTATAATGATAATTGGCTAAATTTACATTATTGCCTTTATTATTATATTTTGTTTTTATGTAGTTACTATACACTAGTTGTTGTTTACAGGCTCTTTATAATTGGTCTAAACCTGTCCTCATGATACTGCGAGGTACAGTGCCCATAATATACTGAGAAAAGAGTATTGTGGAGTATTTTATAATAATATAATAAAATTGCCCAGCCCTAGTACTCAGTCAGTTGAAGTGAGGTCAGAAAGCACAGGCGTCAAAACTAAGCTACTGCCTTCACCCTCTCTTGTACGTATGACTCTGCTTTCAGCTCCTTTCTTTCGCTGAATTCTCTACTCTGGCCTTTCAGAACTTTACTCTCCTCGAAGCCTCTGACAGAAAGACTACCTCGCTCTTCTCGTTTTCTCCCCCAGCTCTTGACAGAAGCGCCTTTGTTACAAACTCTCACCAGCTCCGCTCTTACCACTCTCCACACCCAAACACGCTGTGACATGCCACGCTGAGAGACTGTCCTGTCACCAAACATAAAGCCAACCAAACGCCTGCCCACCTGAATGCGATCACTGAGCGCGCATGAGTCAGCTCCACTGTGTATGAACTACTAACACAACTGTGAAAAAAAATCTATTCCTGCAAGTTCTGTCATGAGGGTCATGAAAAATACTGACTTGCTTTTGCAAAAAACAAGGCATTTTTGTTCATCCATCTCAAAAGCGCTCAAAGCTACAATCAGTATGTTTAGTTAATTACAAGCTGCAATAAAGACATTAAAAATTCATTGAATAGCAAAGTATGTTTGAACCAAAGAAAACAGCCTCATTAATACAGAGAAAATTTCGAAAAAAGGTCATGTCTGAATAAGCGGACTGAAAAGCCAAATAAAAATTTATTCTTAACATGTGGCCCTACTGACTGTAGGTTTAAACAATAATGCTGTCAGGCTCATATTAAACCACGTTTAAGATTTAAAAGCCACCTGAATAAAGTCCCTTCAGAGAGTGTTCACTTAAAAGGCCAGAAATATGCTTAATTTGCCTTTGAGAAACTGGCCTGCTGTTTTGAAAGAATTAGAAATTCACTGATGTGTATGTGAAGGTTGGGGGGCTGAGGGCTTATGTCTGTACATGTATATACGTGTGTATGTATACATATGTACACACACACAAGCCACATAACAAAACGGTAAAGAAGAGGGGTTTCTCTTTCCAGGTGCTTGAAGAAAGCTCAGGGTTGAAGTATGCAGTGTTACTTAAAAGTTTCTAAAAATGACTCAGCAGGGATCAGGCACCATCATGGCCGTCACCTCCTCGTTCAGCACTGTGCCGGGGCCTCTCTTCAAAAGTCAAATGTCACATGCTATCAGTCTACGGTTGCAGTGTGAAATACACAGACAATGGCTCCCTGGTGTCTTTCAGCAGACCCCACACTGAGGGAAGGAAAGAGCAGCCCATCTGATTCATTTGAGTTAAGCAACAGAGTAAGTAACAGCTCAGTCAGATTTGATTATTTGGGGTGGGTTGATAAGATCATAAACTGGTCCAGTCATACTCACAGCTTGGCTAAGCAGAGAAGTGATTAAGATGTCTTTTATTAAGTAATTAAATTAATTAATTTAGCCAAATTTATCTCCTAATTTAGTTGTAAACAACACCCAAGAGTGAGCTTCTCCATTATTAAATGCCAGGGCTAAGGCTACACACATTCCTGCCAGTATGTTCTGATCACAGATGGCACACAGCACAACTGGGATTCGGATCGTCATACCTCAGACAGTGCAATTACTGCACCACTTGTGAGTCGATCTGTGCTTCACTGCACCCTGAAAGAATACCTCTAAAAGACATAACATCATGAAATGTAAGATATAAATGCAAAAATAGCTGCGCAATGAGATTTTTTTTCAAATATGGTAAAACTGTTAGAAATTGGCCCGGGCTCAAACTGTGCAAATTGCTACGTATAATTTATCCTATAAACAGAAACAGTATTCATCTAGGTTTAATCAACCTGACACTTAAGATAATGTTTTTTCAGTATGTACGAAACTACATGAAATCACCCAAATTGCTCTGCGATTATCGACTTTGTTTGGCTGCAAAACAATGCTGCATTCAAAAAAAAAACAAAAAAAAAACAGCAGTATTAAAATACAAAGCGTTCTTCAGTTCTCAGGTACTGTGAAGCAGACATCTCGGCCCATCTACGGCCTGGTCCATCTGAAACAGAATCCGGATCTGTTTGCACTGAAGCTCAATAATAAATCAAATCCACTGTCCTCAGTGGGATCTGGCTGCCCTGCAGTAATATCTACCCTTCCACAGAGAGCAAACACATTATATCTGAGTGAACGACAGGCCTAATGAATGTATTTCAGCTGTTAGTTGGCCACACCTGAGGACTAAGCTGTAGCAGTCATTTTCACGTCTGTCATTCTGCCTGTCCATCCATCCATCTGTCTGTCAGTCTGGTCCTCGCTCTCACTCACTGACCACATTAGCATATGGAGGGGGTCTTTTCTTCGAAAGGGAGACTGGAAAAACTCACAGAACACGGCATTACATAACAACTGTGCCTTGCTAGGATCATTTAAAAACGAAGGACACTCTACTGAACACTCCAGCCCTCCACAGCGCAGCTAGATTGACAGATAATAGAGTACTGCAATTCAGCTGTGTGTGCCAAGAGAAGCTACTAAAGAAATCTCTCTCACATCAGTGCTGAACTGCAGGCACAAATCGAGCTCCTCTGAAAGAGCTGACTGAAACCATCCCACCAGCCTTGCTGGGGATAAAACAACTCCATATATATGCAAAAGAAGATAAAAACAAACGACTTGGTACATTTTGCCTGCATATAGTAGAAGCAGTGGTCTGTAAACAGTAGAGATATGGTAAAGCCAGAGAGCAGCCAGCATTAGAGAGCGAGAGAGGCAGCCAGTGTTGTAGACACAGGAGACGAGACGGGTAAACAAGTGAGAGGCTTCTCTGGCAGCTGAATAAACAACGCATTATAATGTAGCAATAGTGATGCAGCATTTTATAAAATGAACCTGCATTTTCCTCATTGAAAACCTACTTGTTTTGGCTTGATTAATGAAAATATGCGGCATAAAGACGTCTTAAAATGAAAACGTAAGCTCTCGTTTTAAAAAAATAACAGTGCCATTGTACATGCACTTTGGTTTATCTTATGGACGGAGGTGAACAATGTGTGACGGGTGCAATCACGCAGCGCTCCCATACATTACGCAAGCCCTTTTTCAACAAGCAGTCATTTTTCTAATAAGACAAGCAGAATGGCTTCCATTTTGCCATATACTTCAGAGCAACAGATTACACCAACCTCAGCTAATGAGGTGAGAAAGAAAACACTGCATTTCTTTCCCTCTCTTCCTTCCCTCCCCTTTAAGCCTTCAACCAGAGCTAAGCACTCTGGGCTACTGGAGCCCTGCACCCATTACGCAGATTTCCCCCATCAAGTTGATACATTGTGCCATGATCTCGTAAAATATTTAAGCCCGGACTCCTTCCGTAGGCACTCTGAGCCCTCTCCCTCGCATCCCCTGGCCAGTGAGAGGAAATTGCTCTTCACAGTGCTGTACTAAGAGATGTAGCTGATGGAATGAATGAGGGTGAGTGACTTATCAGAGTTCTGAGGGCTTCTTTATGAGAGCAATCAATTCATATCAGAGGGGCACACTTACACAACACTGCCAGTTGAAAGAACAGGCAGCAATACTATCTGAAGAGCATGCCTGTAAGAAAGAGAGGACACTTTTATTTAGTTTGGGCTCATAGAGGACTGGAAATAGCTACTGGGGAAACAGCCACTGGAAGTTACAGAGACTTTGTAAACCACTGTCCTGAGCAGGCATGTCCATCTGAATTGGCACAGAATCCATTACGATGGAGGAAAACAAAAGCTGGTATTTATAAGGAGAAACTGGTGTCTGTCAGGCCACAGAAGTGCAGCTCCATGTTAACTCCGATTCAGCCTGGCCACAGCCCTGTTGGTCAACACCAGTTTGCATTCGTGAGAAAGGCTATTCGTACATTCTGAGAAGATTCCTGACATGACTGCTGTCTAAGGGCAAAAAGATCATTGCTCAAGTTACACGAATAGTAAAGAAAACAGAGAAAGGAATGGCTAGGCCACTATTTCCATCCTAACACCGCCTAAAAGTCAGGCAGCAGCGGGAGAAGGGAGTCTTCCCAGAAAAGGGTCTGTTTCCAAACAACAACAACATGGAGCACAACCTGTCATAACCTGCAGGATGTCCAGAGTGGCCAAAATGCACAAGACGAACTACCGCTAGCATAGACCTTATAATCCCTTTTCTATTCATTTCTAGCCCATGAGACAGCCAAACTGTGCAGTAACAGCTCCGTTGAGCAAGAACTGGACGTATTTACTTCACAGTTTTCTTGCTTCGCTGCTGCTGCTGCGCTCCGTCGAACAGCGTTCACGGCGACGTGTGGCGAAAACTAAACAGACATTCGCCAACTGGAACATTAAACACCCACCAAAACGCTGCCGTTCGGGGCCAAATTCTCCACCTACAGTGTGGAGGTATACAGAGAAATGCGTGGCGTAAATTTGGACGATACAGTCACGCTGCTAACTCGGTAATAACTACCTTTACTTCCTACTTTTACCACCACAGCCGGCTAACACCCTTTTCCTCAGCAGACTGATGTTAGCAGACCATTAACGTACTATACCGACGACTTTCTACTGCACAGCCGCAGCAACACGCTAACAGTAACATTTAAAAACAGGCTTTCTTCATTTCTTCACACACTTTAAAGAGCACACTGCCCTGTCCTACCGAGCAGGGCGTGTGCTTACATTATACTTACATTTAATAACTCTATCCGTCGTAGATAACTTCGCCTCATCATTCGGTTTGTTTTCAGACATTTCCAGTCAAATGTGTTGGCTTCTCTCTCTCTTTTTTAAACTGTGCCTGAAAACGAGCCGGTGTAGTCCTCGCTCAACGACTCGACTCTTCCCCAAAATGGGAGACTGAGACGGTATCGCTCGCCGAAAATACTTTGCAACAGGGTAACGAATTTGAGCGCCGTTACTGTAGCTCTGTCTGATTTACAGCTCCCACTGTAACAGATCTCTCACCCCCCTTCAACCCCCCCCACCCCGCGGCGGACTCAACCAAACAGCAGGCTGGAGAAGCCCCGCCCCCTCTGTCAGGAGGGCGTCTCCGATTGGAAGAGCTCAGCCTCCCGCTCTGCACAGCGGACACGTCCTGTGGTCGGGACTCCTGTCAGTCTTCTGCTTGTGTACGACTGGAGCTTCTTCAGTCTCAGTTCGCTCGTCAACTAGGAGTGATTATAGTTCAGAACGTCTCCAGACCGCTAAAGATATAGTGGGGACGTGTTGGACGCTGTGTAGTACATCGCAGACTTTTCCACTTTTGATGAAGACACAGACACTCTTTGTATGTCGGCAGTATTTCACTGTAATCCTGAACATCCATAATTAAGACAGAGCGGGCAGAGAGATGAGGAGAAAAGACGGTCTGTCACTGCCCATGATCTGTTAGGACTTTCCTTTCGTTTTGTCTGCGGTTTGATGGGGAACATTTATTTATTTGTTTATGTAGAGTGCAGCAATGTCTGTATAGTGTCCAAAAACTGAAAAAAGAACATTTACATTAAAACCAAGCTATGGAAATGAAAACTGTGGCTCTCTGATTTACCATGTTTCATGGCAGCCACTGTCAGTGATCAGGATTAAGCATTTGGATGCATGCTGCGAATGTTTTATATGAGGCAGTTAAAGGGGAATCCCACTGATTTCCAAAAATTGTCGGCATAGTCTAGTCATTAGAATGTAAACAAAGGCATTCATAGTTTTTACGTGAAATGGTGCATTGTAAAGAAACTTACTCTAGATTCTCTAAACAGTGATGGTGATAGGAACCAGGGGACTGTGGCATGACCAGTGAACCCACATGTGTCTTCTGGGGTTTTATTTGCAATGTTGATCATTGTAAACTAGCAGTAAAGTTTTTTTTAGGGATTTTTATTTTTATTTTTTGGCTTACGTCATTCTGCGTGTACATGTCCACCATGAACAGATAAAAAAGGCTAAGTTAGGCCGAAACCTTATCTCTACATTACTGTAAAACAATGTCTCAGGCATGAGGAAATGCATTTCATGCGATAGCTTCCTGTGAGGGACCTTAAAGATGGATTAAACTGTTCAGGTGTCTGGTTCCTATCACAACCACTGTAAATAATTCTCACTCGGTAAGTTTCTATAGAACAGATAATTTCTTATCAAACCACTCTTAATGATTGAATATTTTTAGGTAATATTCAGTGGAATCGGTGCAGAAATATTTGGAATTCCCCTTTAAGGCTTGCGCATTGTTTGTAGCTCTGTTGCAGTGTTGTACAAGATTATTTATCTAAACCAAACTAATCTGTGTAGTATATAATCAGAGCTCTGTAGAATAAAGACTTCTTATATTGAAACATTTCAGTGCTAACTTCAGAAACAGAATGGTGTTAAACCTGAAAATATGTGTATAGTCACACCCTTTTGATTTATCCTGAAAAATCAAATAACATTTATTGCGTTCAGCAAATGATGCTAAATACACTCATCAGTAGATAAGTTGCTGAAGAAGCCTGCTTTGCCTCTCTAAAGAGCAAAAGTGTATCTTATTTCCACCGGTATATGTATAAGTGGGCTTCATTTTACCGTTCAATGTCCATAAAGGTATTAGACAGCACATCTATTAGCTCTGCTCCTCACTGCAGCTGTAAAGCTGTCACCGTGATGTATCTGTAAGAAGGATATGCTTCTTACCAGAAAAAGAAATGCAGAGAGTTCAGTCTCTCACTCGGTGTGTACTCAGAGTGGCAATAGAGGATCAGGCTTCACACCTGATGAATACCGCTGATAGAAAAGTTTTTATTGCAGCAGGGCTCAAACACTTAGTCTATCAAGTGTAATGTGAGCGGTGGGCCTGGGGGAATAAAATAATCAATGAGCAATGCATATATGATGCTATTTGATATGTAGGATTCAGGTAGTTTTAAGAGGCAGCCCTTGTTTATGGTTTATAGCGTTGGGACACCCATGTTGCACATATTACACATATTGTCCTGACTGTATGGCCTGCAATTTGGAGATGGAGGAATGTGTTAGAAAATACAAAGTGGCAATTACTGCCGCCTTCCTTTCTGTGCTGTGCATGCTCCAGCCAGATTTTTACCACTGAGTACAGCAGTAAAAATGTACTGAAGCCAGATGTCACCATGGAAGGTATTACAGCTCACTTCACTGAGACTATATGCATATAGATACTGATTTTCACCACAGAATTCAGCAGTGAAAATGTACTGAATGCAGATGTCACAATGGAAGCTATTACAGCTCACTTCACTGAGACTATATGCATATAGATACTGATTTTCACCACAGAATTCAGCAGTGAAAATGTACTGAATGCAGATGTCACAATGGAAGCTATTACAGCTCACTTTATTAAGACTACATGTATATAAATACAGATTTTCACCAATCTGAATTCAGCAGTAAAAATATACAGAAGCCAAATGTCACAGTGGAAGCTGTTAAAACTCACTTCATTGAGACTATATGCCCATTGACATAGGCCCAGCACAAACTCCAAAAGAGTTTTTAAGCTCCAAAAGGCTGGATTTCGTATTTTTCAAATACAAGACACACTAAATCTATTTAACTAAATGCATTTGTTGTCAACAGTTTGAAATCTCTAACAAAATGCATTTTTAAGCAAGAGCTATTTTTCCTTTATTTAAACTGATGATAAACTTCCATCCATTCAAGAGAATGTCTTAATCTGACCACATCCTATCTTATCTAGGATAAGCTCTTGCTTAATAATGTTTTGGAAAGTTAAAGGACATTTTATAAGACCTAAATTGAAATCAACAAACTGGCAAGAGGTAGAAGGTGGCAAGCCCTACCATTGGCAGAACGCTTATAAGGATGATCTACAAAGGCAATCTTCGCACAGCAGGCAAAGCTTATCAAAGTACAAAAGGAGGAAGGGGGGGTTAAAACATGTGCAGTAAGAGTCCTGTCCACTGTCAGATATGCAGATAGACAGCCAGAGGCCTGAATGTCAGCAGGTCTGATAAGGTCCCTGTGTTCAGATTTGCAAAGGTGTGTAGCAGCTACTACTCTTCTCGATTTCATATAAGTACAATTTCGATGGATTTGTGTCATTTCCAAATGATAAGTCTTTCACTTATACTTGAGTACATTTGTGATGAACCTACCTGAACTTCTTTGTGATTGGTAACCACCTTGTATCAACGTAGCAACCACCTGGGATACCTCAGCAACCAGTTAGCAGCACCCTAACAACCATCAGGGATACAACAGCAACCACTCAATACTTTTGAGCTTTAGCTTTTATTAAAGAACAAAAGAGTCATTAACATGCAAGAATATCTCCTGACAAAGTTCACTTCCTATGCTGATAGATGATGGACGTATTAAGGAGTTTTTAACCTGGTACTCTTTACTCCTACGTTTACGTCATTATTTCTTTGGTGTAGTAACACATTTACTTGAGGGTGCATGGATTACATAGTCCAGTTCACATGTAACCTGTTACCACCCATAAAGTCATTAGCAAACAGTATTTAAATTAGCATTAGACTTGGAAGTAAGACTACACTGTTCTAGTATCTTGCAAAACGTTAATGTAACCTTTATGTAATATATTTGTACTCTAGGGTATCATAACTATCCATCTGTTTCTCTCAGTATGATTTTAGTAGTAGTAGAAGTAGGTTGTAGGCTTATGCATCTGCTTTACAGCTTAATTATTTTCACTTTTTTGGTAATCTGTGTTTAATTACAGTGAGCACTGTATCCCTGCGGATAGGAAACTGACAGCAGGCTATTTTTGCTCAGGAATGGATTGAGACTCAATCATCTTTTGGAGATATTTCTAATATGGGTCCACCATCATTTTGCAGTAGTATTACAGTCATTGCTAGAGACTGAACTGCAGAATCCAATAGAGTGAAAACAATGGACTCAGGCTTCGAATACTTTGAGCTCATTCACTGCAGTTCTGATCAATAGAGTAGTGATGACACAGTTTCGCATGATGAGTGCAAAGTGAAGAGGGAGCTGTTTGGCCACAAACTGGCATGAGCTTACCATAACAAATAACCACAGGGCAGCGTAGCAAAGCCTGTTAGGCCTGTGACCAGCATATGCTACCAATTACACCAGAAAGGCACAAGAGAGAGAAAGAGAGAAAAAGAGAGAGAGAGAGAGAGAGAGAGAGAGAGAGAGAGAGAAGGGAGGGGGATGGGGGGGGGGTGAGAGATGCTGAGTCACAAAACTAGTTTCAGTTACTAAATTAAGCCTGTCAAAAGTTTGGAGACACTTTGCCTGTTGAAATGTTCAGTGTATTGGAGCATGTGTGTATTGGAGTGTATGTATGTGTGTGTGTACATGTTTTTCAGATCTGAAGCAAGAGTGGAGCTTGATTTTTCCCTCTCTCTAAAAGATGAAAGCTTTAAGTACTGTTTATCTGATGGTGACAGTTTTGGCAGTCTGACAGGTCTTGCACGGTTAGTAAGAGTCTAATTTTCTCTGTATCTTTTAATCATTTCTTGAACCCCAGTTTTCTGTGACTTCCCCATCCTTATGCAAGTGGATTATCTCAAAATCTCCTCAGAAATACTTGTACTTAATGTCCATTTCTACTGGAAATTACATAAAGAGTGGTGTAACGTAGGATGAGCAGGAGGCGAAGCAAGATTCATATGTGAGTTTGTTTTATTGTAATCCATGAAAAAACAGGAGGAAAATACAGGGAATCAAGAAAACAACAAAGAGTAAAACAAAACTAAACTACAGACACTGGAAAAGTAATAAAACAAAGAAAGAACAAGATAAATTTATTAATAACCAAGAGAATAAATACCAGGGCAACACAGTTACATCTGTACAAAGAACGAACAATGCTAAACATGACAAAAACAAGTGGCATGTATACTGGGGCACACCAACAAGAAACACCTGGGAGTAAATAGTGGGTGGGGTTAATCAAAAGACACAGGTGAGGGTGTGGCTATAGATGAGCAGGAAACCAAACGAACAAA